TACGCACAGGAAATCATGGCCATCAAAACACATACAGCCAAATCAGAGGTAAGTATGGCACTATAGTGTTTTTCTCGAGGAGGGCATTTATTTTCCTGCATGAATTACATATTTCATTGCACCTCTTCAGCTCTGCTCTAGAATGAGAGCGAACACATCCTCATCAGGCCAATGTGAGGTTTGTTTAGTCTGCCACGCTTAATCACAGATGCAGTCAGGTTACCTGTCATGTTGTCTGCCCTTGCTTTAAGGCTCCAGGTTGAGACACCAGCCATCTCACCATGATAACCACGTGCCAGCTGCTCTTCTAAGAGGTTATCCAAGGCCATTTAATGCACAAGGTGGACATATTATGCTTCTCATTGGTTTCCTTCATTTGGCCAAATGAGCAACCAAGTCCCTGTCATGTCCACTCATCATCACTGCGGTGATGAAATGTGTTCCTCTGTAAATCTGAGTTCCTAAGTCTTCAAGGGCTGGAGGAGTCCAGTCAAGTAGAAAACTTGTTTTGAAGCAAAACAGAGATGCTGCATGAATGGCCTGAACCTTAAAATAAACTGGCAGTGTTCTGGATGAGCAATGAGAGCAGACCCTGGCTGTAATGCCTGAGCATGGACAGGAGAGTATTGAGACAAAATGACATGTAAACTTAGTTGACATCCGACAGCTTGTCATTTTGTCCGTCAATGTCCAGTGAAAAACATTTGTCAACAGTCAATGACTTTGTTATAATTATCTGGTTACAAATAAAATAGCCATCAGCGCGTAAATGCTTGAAAACCTTTATGAACATGCTATTGAAAACAGGTATTCGGTACCTTTATTCTATTTCTCATATCCAGTGTATCCCATGAAATCGAATAAGACATTATTACAGCTTAAAAGAGAAAAAGCTTTTCCACATGGAGCATAAACAAATATTAGGGATTTAGCTATGAATCAATATATATATATCCTTTAAAGTGCACCTATCATGCTATTTTAAGGCATATATTATGGGTCTCAGATATATAAAAATATATAAAAACATGTCTATGTGTTTTGCTCAAAATACAAACAGATCATGCATTTTAGACACCCCTCATACCCCTCTATTCCAGCCCTGTTAGAGAACTGCTGATTTTGGGTCCTTAGCTTGAAAAAAAAAAAAAGAGGAGGCGGAGCTAATGCCTGCTTAGAATTCTACCGGAGATAAAGTTCAATTCTGCTGTGATAAAACGCCATCCTGTTCTAAACCACATCAAGGATTATTTCTGAAACAGTATGGAGCTCAAATACTTTTTCTCTTGCGGGTTTATCACAAGGTGAGTTCCTTTTTTTATTTCCTGCTTTTTAAAACACATGTGCTCTCCAGTACAGGTTAGCTCTGAGTGTTAGCGAGGCTTGCTAATGTAAACAAAGACGAGATTACGTCCAAAACAAGTCAGGCATTGTTTCTGATAGCAACTCTCTGTGGGTCCAACATCCGAAATCACGTCATATCAGCAGCAAATCTGTATCCGCTCATTGTACCCCCGTTTTTTTTAAAGATTTGGGTACGGGGGAAAAGAGAAAGGGTTTTATTTTCTGACGCTGCGTGAGTTCCCCGACACACCGGGGACACATATTTATGTATAAAAGACATCAAAAAGTGCATTTTGCATGATAGGTCCCCTTTAAGTATCAAATGCCTTCCCCAAAGGACAACCAAGCTCAGCCAGACTACTACTGTAATATTACTTTACCATAAGAAACCAAAGCCACTTTCTCCAGACCGCTGAGTTAATGCAATATTCATAAATATTTAAGTGCTACCTCGATGTGCAGTTCATATCATATCAGCCAGAAAGGCTGTGTTTTTGGTCCTGTATGTTTGAGTGTATTTTAGCTAAATCCCTCAAAACCTACTTTGAAGATGTCAGACTCTTCATGGAGAGTTTGGTAAATAGCCAAGACACAGATTACTTTTGGATGCAGATTTGCCTACTTATTAAGCAGGCAGGCTAAGGACATCACCAAATGCTCTGCTATAGTAAATAACCAGGCTCTGAAGCCATGCTGCGGATGTACCAGCCCTAAATTGGCCTATTTATAATATAACCTATATACACATAAAATACTGTATTTAAATCATTTTAGTAACCTCTTGGCTTAGGAAGGTTATTGACCAAGTTATAGGCAAGTTAGACAGTAATGCTAAAATTAGAAGTCACCCTTTAAGCCTATAGTAGGTATCTGTACAAATTGTAAACCAATTTGCAGCATTTGCATTGTTAAGATAATTGTGCTCTGGCAGGATTGCTGCAGTGTGTGAATAACAGCTTGAATATGCACTAGTATCACACCCTACCTGGCATAACATCCAAAACAGCCACAGGACCACTGTAAGAATTCACTAATTAAATAGAAAAGCTGTGCTCTTTAAAATGTTACCTCCGAAGACAGGGAGTACAGCAGGAAACGGATAAAGTTCAGGCTTATAGACGGTACTAAATAAGAAATCACCACAGCAAGGACATTTCTCTGGGTGAGTGGCTCACACTGAAAGGCTGCCGTTACAGTGAGGATATTCAGGGAGTGGTTGAACAGAGCCGTTCCAAACAGACAGAAGAAAGATATTGTAAAATAAAAAGAGATCAGTGGAGGGACAGAATGGATAAATTATAATAGTTTTTCAGTGTCATTGCTGCTTCTTAACAAAAAAGCCCATGCGACATTATCATTTTCTACTAAAATGATATCTTGGGGAAGAACTAGTAAGAGATAAAGTCCTAACAGTCATTATTCAAACATTAAAGTCACATTTTCTACACTGAATACAGGAACAGATTTTCAGATGGGAAACAAATAGTCCAATACTGAACTAACTTATCCATATGATATCTTGTTACCTGAGGTAATATGAACACAAGTTCCCACCTGTACTCTTAAAATGCATATTGAAGAACATTCTGTATGTTTTCTCTATGAATTTGCTTTTTAGTTTTTTGAAAAAAAGACAATTCTTCACTCAAACAGCTTGACGGATTAGCAAAGGGTACATTTAATTCTGACAACAAGAAAGCGGTTTGTATTTTGCTGAAACTCAATTGTTTAGTATTACTTTATTTATGAAGATAAATGTCAAAAGTAAGTTAAGCATAACAGCATATCTTTCACTTCTTCCATAATAAGTTATCTTCCATGGCGTATACAAAGTGTTTTGTTTTTGTTTGCTAGGTTCAGTACTTGAGAAACTATAGAACTTGATACCCACTGTCACACCAGACTTTAGATTTATATGGCGGAAAAGTTGGAAAATTAAATCCCTGAAGGATTGGACTGTAGTGAAGGGTACTTTATGTTATTGGGTAGTTGCCCAATGACTACTCTCACCCTTGAACAGTGATGTTGATTTCATTGACATAATAACCTATCATTTATTTAAAAAGTTAATATAGGAGACCATCTGTGCCACTGGTATCACACCAACCCTAATTAATCCCATTCACTTCATACCATTGGGATAGCTATAGGATCTTAAAAAGCTGTGTAAATGTGTCCAAGTATTAAAACTGATTGTAATCCAAGGTTGTCTGACACATTCTAGCCAGATGTTAAAAGAGTAAATGTGTCCATTTCTCCAACACACATATGCCATCTTTTTCATCCCAAAGAGTAATTATGTCAGTAAGCAGCTGTGGAAACTCCCCATCTTATGCTCTTATTACATCCATGTCTGCTCTGTCCTTGTGATAAAGGCATCTTCCGTTGCCTTAACATTATACTGAAGTTAGCCCTTGTTCTCTGTCTCATTGTCCATAACACATGAAAAAAATACATTCTTATACTTTATCATTTCTACCACTAAATGATATATTTGGGTGAGGAAAGAGTGAGAGTTAGGGTTGTGAAGATTATAACATTAATACAAAATTCAGATCAAAAACTCCAACAGTCCACATCAAATCCAGGAATATTGTTCTCCAGTTGAAAACACAATCACAAAGCACACAGGTCACACAGCCCACTAACACAGAGGCCATTACGAAGTGTGTGTAGAACCTCTGCATGCTAAGGTGTTGCCCAGGGGAGTGTTGGCTCCTGGTTTTAGCCTCCCGGGCAGACCAGTGACTGCATTTTTCTGAATACAAATCCCATCTCCTTTTTCTGGAATTTGCTGAGCCTATACCCGGATATGGCCCTAAGCTGACATACTATAGCCTGAAGCATTTGATGGGTGGAGCTTGTTGAAGGAAGCACTGAGAAATAGACGGATTGATTCTAGGGTAGTCTTTTTTAACTGAAGCAAGACCGTTACAATGTATGCACCGTCATAAAACAAATCATGGTCATTTTGATATTAATCAATAGTTAAATAGTAACAATCATTATTAAAATGTTTTGCTAAGGAATTGCAGCAATGCGGTGTCCCAGAGAGCCCACCGCATTGTGATTTGGGCCAATTTACAGTTTGACATATAAGGCTCTTTAAACTAAGCACCATAAATATAAAACCAGCGAGTTTTTATATAAAATCTTTGGCCCCTATTACTTTAAGAGAACGAGTTATATATAAAGTACGAAGACTTGATTAACAAAAGACTGCTTGATCGCAGAGCTGTTTCTATAGATTATTAATGCAATATAGAGTATGGTCCTTTTGCCCACACGATAACCTGAGAGGGATTCGCTCCCAAACAACATTATATAAATAACAATTTTAACTGAGGTTATAAAAAAGAAAACAAGATTTAAATGCAAATAGGTGATGTTTCTCTTTAGAATCAGAAGACTCTTGGTATTATTCTTTTCAGGGCATTTAGTATGGGAAGGGATTATATGGATTGCAAATATAAACATTATTGGCTTTACATACTAGGATATACTTGGATCCAAGAAACTAAAGTATTTATAAGTTTTGGTTAAACAGAGGGGCTCTGCAAAATATAAAAGTAAAATGAGAGAGCCGCTGTGTTGAGGATACAAAGTGTGGAGTTGGGTGTGATGGAAAGGTGTAGGAAATGGAAAGGTGTACTTACATTGCCCATGTACTCAGACAGAAGGTCCTGAAGAGCCTGGCGCACAGAATTGCATTCGGCCACGATGCGCTCCCTGCGGTCGTCACGTGTGCAGGAAGAGTCGGCCATGAGGGCAGCTCCACTGATAATGCTCTCAAGGCGCTCCTCCAGGGAGGGGCGGAAGCGCTCCTCACTGAACGCAAGGGGGTCCACAATGATTTGTTTCTGTAAGGAAAGAGTCAGAGGGGAAATTACACAGGGAGGGAAAAAAAGATAAAAGTCATCATAGGACATTGATCTTTCCTTCTACAAGCCACGAAGAGAGAAATCTGGCAGGCAGGGAAAGGGACGGACTGACGGGGGGGCTGGGAAGCTGAAGAGAAGAACGTTTGAAGCGGTCTCCTTTTTGTCTATGGGCCAAACGACCACAACTTGCCTAAGGTTTTAGTAGCTCTGCAATAATGTACGTTTCATGACTAACTATGGTATGACCAGGAAATGAAGGTGTGGTCACTTTTTCCTTTAATTAAAAAGAATTGCCTCACATTCAGCACATATACTTTGTCAGCGGAATATCTGAGTGGCTTGTGGGAAATCCTTAGTGGCCTCTCCAAATTAGACTCAGGACTGCCCCTTTTTAATCTGTGTCACACAGAGAAAAGGATAATTGGTTATTCAAATACTTTAGTCAGTAAGTTGAGGGACCTTTTAACTATATCCTCTTTAAGACTAGGCTTGCTCTTCTGCTCTGCTGATTATCAGTGTTTTGAATCATTAAAGATGAATACAGCTTCAAAAACGCACTTTCTCAGTGCGCTGACTAGAGAAAAACAAGTCCTAAAATGTAACCAATCATCTGGAATAGTGCAACACAGCAAAGGAAAGTTCTTCTGAGTATCTGATGAATAAATCAGAAAAGAAAGCTCCATCATGTCTGGAATGTAGACTACAAGATCCATTTCAAACAACAGCTGTGCCTATGAATATTAAATTATATAATCCCTTATGTGAAAGGATTTTTACATTTCATAGCCTTTTCTACTTTTTTTTTCACAGAATTGCCATAGTAAACCACTGCCCTCTGTTTAATATCTGCAGCATGAGAGAGGACACTTGAATGTGTGATTTTACAGGGGCAAGCGTGCTGAGAGGCAACTAGTTGACATGCTGGAGAGGCACTGCAGAGGGTTAAGGTATCCACATGACACTTGGGGCGGTTAAAGAATGAAACTCTGGGCTTCAGCAGACACCTTGCTGCAACTAAATATTAAACAATTCATCTGTTAGAAGTGAGGTTTATTAGGCAGCCCTCCCTCTATCACAGCCACCTTCAGCCCCCTCTTTTCAGTCTCATCTGACCTCCTCTGCTTGCGTTTCACATCACCATGGCAACAGGCACACGAGAGACACGGAGGAGGAAACACAGGAGAGATAGAGAGAACAAAAAGAGAGAATTGGGGGGGGTTGACTCATTTGCTAATTTTGCCTTGCACTTGAAATTGGGCAACAGAAAGGAGCTACTCTGGGAAAGGCATGGCTACCTGTAAAATAATCACTGAGGCAACAGTTTGAGACTGCATTGTTGACACTTGTTTTATGTAGATTAATCATTTGGCAGACCATCTGTCAGACGGAAATGCTTTTATAGTTTATAACAGTGTAACATAAATTTCCAGGGCTGTAAATCGACTCAGCCCGAGTGGCCAGACATCAGTCTGATCCTGAAAACAAAATCTTGCAAATTGTTGTTTCAACACTGCAAACAGGAACATCTAGTGAGTGTGGCTTATTGCATTATCAAGTACATCGAATTTCTGTACCTACAATCATCAGGTTACCATTCGTTAAAAATACTAATTTGTTGAAAACAGAAGTGGCGTGTTTTTGTCTACTCAGTACTGAGACTATTTTGGAAAGGAATGTTCACTTGATGAAATACTCCATTTGATTCCTAAAAAGCTTAGCTTAAGTACATTTTTGATTAACTTTCGGTAAGAGCTACTGACTCTAATGGAGAGTCTAAAAGGTGGGCCTACAGGGTAAAGTATATCAACATTCAACTATATATTACCCATTCTACGCTGCCATTTTGGGAGGGTCGCTCCTGAAAAGAGACTTCCTGGCTAAATTAAAGATTAAATAAAATAATATTCTCCAAAACATTGTTTTTGCCTGTGTGCTCACTTCGGGAGCAGCTTTGCCTGGTAAGTAACAGTCACATAGATCCTATCACAGCACTCATGTTGTCAATGTCCACAGAGGGATTACACATGTTAAGTGCAAATTACATGTGTGTAACTGCGCATCCGGATAATTGCTTGAGATCCTATCATTAGGTAATCATCAAACACATCTATTTACTTCAACGGTTGTTTCTCCTTTTGTATATATAAAACAAATACCAACTTCCATCCCGTGCTGCACCAACAGAGTAACAAAGGCTAAGAGTAATTAAACATTGCATCATATGGCTAGGGGCACGGAAAACATTAGCATGCAGATTGCATCAGTCAAGTGAGACATTTTTTTTTGCTGCAGGATAAACACATCAAGTTACACACAGCTCCTTGCTAAATGACTAAATTGCTGATCAACTAAAGATGAGTGATGTGTCTAGCGGTAAAGTGGCACAGTAGAAACCTGTTCTTCGATAGAGCTCATTGAGCAAGATTTATCTTGCTGTTGTGGATCTGTTCAATGTCTTTGGAATTTGTCAGAATATTAAACATCTTGTGTAAATAAAAAAGGTGCCTTGCAGGTCTGACAGAAGTCAGAGGAAGAAGAAAACAAAATCAGGGTAATCATGTTTGCATTTATCACCCCAGGCAGCATTAAGACGTTTAGCTTAACGTTTTTATCCAGCTGCTACCTTGATGTTGTTTCATGTCAATATTATGATACAAATAAATGTCATATTGCTCTTATATAAGTTAATAGTTAAATGTTCTTATAAATAGTAAGCTATCTTTAACCAAATTCAATCTCAACCATGTTACAATTTGCTAGGCCAATAATTAATTTAGTTAAAAACTAGTTCATCTGAGTCTAATGTAGATTTTAGGGCTGTATACAGTTTGAGTAAACACTGGATGACAACTTACTTTCAGGGGTTTAAGGTTTTGAGCATGAATTTATGAAAAACTAGACAGCAACACGGAAAGTGTTTTTAGTAAATTAGGGTTCCTGCCTGTACTAAATGTCAACATTGCCTACACTTATTGAGTTTGCCAAGCTGTACTCCAGCGGTATGCTTTAGAAGCAGGCAACCTAGCAACAGTTGAGCAGAGCTTAGCAGCTACCAGCGGAGAAGAGGTTAACTATTTATTTACAGGATATATTTATAAGACCATGTGATGTTTCCGTCTGAAAGCTAGAGCTGTGTAGACATCCTTCATTTGACTTAGAAGCAAATCAAGGAATGAATAGGTAGTGACTCAGGAACATATTCAATGTACCCCAAAGCCATGTCCCAATTTGTCCACATATCTCGTTCTAATTTCCACCTCGACCCGAGCCCTTGGAGGGTTTTTGGTCATTTTATGATTCAGTTGGGTTAAGTCCATGAACTAACATTCTGACCTTACTATAACCTTTCTGAACAAGACCTCATCCACCTCATGTTAATAAATAGTTTATCATACATTTGGAACTGAGCCACGTTGTTAAGAGATTCAATCCTAAAATGAATGGTTTTATTAATCTGGCAGATACCTGCATGCCTGGTTGGACTTGTGAAATGGGTTGTGACTTGTAAGCCACTCATTTGACTTACATCAAAATTGTTGAGGGCATAGGCGAGCTCTCCACCCCCTGCTGGGTGATTGAGCGCCGAGTCCTCAGTGGCAGTGGCCTGAGCGGCGTTGGAGATGCTAGAGACGGCGCTCTGCAGCTGCTTGTAGATCAGGTCACGGTTTGCCTTGTAGGCTGCCACGTCAGGGTGCTGGAGGCAGGCACGGGACGCCGTGTACAGCATGGGGATGTTCCTCTGTAGCACGCCGCGAGCAGCAGCCATTTGGTCCTTGTGGTGGACGTCCTTGAGCTCCTAGCGGATTGAGATGAAAAGCAAAGTAGAAAAGGATGAAAAAAGTAATGGGTTGAACTGGAGGATGGAATTCTTACAGGGAGCTGGATGGTAATGTACTTTAGATTCAGAATGGGCCTGTCATGCCCTTATAGAGACACTAAGTGTGACAGAGTTTGTTCAGGATGACCCAGATTTATTTCTGTCCCCTGCGGCAAAACAACACAGTCATAATCAGGCCATTATAATATGCCTTTGCAAATTAATGCGTTGCTATTCAGACTTCAGCATTATATTACAAATACATCTTCATAGAAGAGAAGAGATAGTGATCGCTGGCATAGATTTATTGCATAAAAAAAAGCCGCTTGCATACACAAAACAAAATCCTCCCCTCTAAATGGAACTCTCCCAGAGCTTTCATCCAGCATTGCTTAAGACATGCGCTTAGGAAAAAAGCAGTCTTTAAGCCTCATTACTTCCTGCCTTCACTTTGGTTAAACATAACTTCCCATTCATAAAAAAAAGTGCAATTACAAGTAAAAGCAATTTCCTCACAGGATAATCAGTGATCATTTTTGGCAGGTTCTCCATTTAAGAGGTGTTTTGTATAACAATAATTGTATCGTCTTGGAGGTTTTTTTTTTAGGAATAGTATAGGAAATTATTTGCTATGCCTCTCGTCCAATGAAATGACTTGGTTGCTCCATGACGCGTTGAACCCAATGGGAGAAAATTACACTGAGCACCTGAGATTACTTCCAAAAAGTTGTTCACGTTCTATTTTTTTTTACGTTTAACGTTATATTCGTTCGGTACACTTCGGTACACACGTGTACCGAACCGAAGGGCCCATACCGAATAATTTCGGTACGAATACGTATACCGTTACACCCATATTGGTTAAGTATATGCATCTCAAGGATCTGCACCAAGAATCTTATGAAGTTGTTTCATCTTGAAAATGCATTATGAAACACACTTTCCTGTTGACTACCACTTACACCATAGTGGAGAAAAACGATGCGCTATTTCTCATCACAAGGTAATGGGTTTTGTCAGATTTAGAATGAAGCCTATATGCTCTTTTCTTGCTCTCCCGGTCCACCTCATTGCAAGTGGTAATAAGAAGATTGTTCATGCTTACAGCATCTAATCATCCATCTTAAGCACTGCTTACTCCCTCCCACTGATGTACTTACCGTTTGAGGGTTGAAAGGCCTATTTTGTTATGAGTGACATAACCACTAATGCCCATTCAGTTACCAAATAACCTTCCAGCCCGTGTTCATAATCATAAGGTTTATTTAAATCATTAATTCTACGAATGGAATATTACCTGCTGTCTCTTGGCAGCCATCATGTTCAGCTTGTCCACCTCTGGTTTCAAGGCCTTATATTGGATCCCAAGGTCCTGATCTGTTCCTGCATTTCGCACTTTCACAAGATTTTCCTCCACCTGAGCCAGGAAGGAAAAAGTTAGACAATACTTTGCAAAAAAAATACAGTTCTTAAATATAAGTTAGAACATTTTGGATCCAAATTGGATAGAAAAAAATGCACCTATAATTCATTAAATGCTATTTCAGTGTTCAAAATAATCTCTTAGTTGGTAATTGTGTTCTTAATGATAGCTGATCAAATATGACTTAAAGGTAGGGTAGGTAAGGTAAGAATGGAGAAACCAGCTCGAGTGCGCTACAATTTGAAAGTACGCAGCCGAAAAAAATCTGCCCCGTCCTTCAGACTTCCTTACAGAGCTCCTCCTCCAACACACACGAACGCGCACATGACCAAGGAGGGCACGAGATAAGTTTGTGCACGAGATGGAAAGCTGACAGGCAGGTAGGCCATCCAGTTATTTTAGCCGGGCTGGCTAAAATGATTGGTCGTGCTTTTTAAAGCGCTACGGCTTCCACAGATGACATTTTTTTTATGTATTTATTGTCAAAGCATTTAATGTATTCATTGCTATCGGGATGTTAAGAGCATTCCATGGAATATAACAAAAAGTGTTTCTGAAGTGAATTACCTACCCCACCTTTAATTCAAATGTGTGTTTATATTATATTAAGATTGTTGACATGTACATGATCCAAAAGAATGAAGCTATCTCACCAGTTTAAGCTGCAGTAGAAGCTTGTAGACATCAGACATGTCTGCCAGCACTAGCAGATGCGTGACTGCTGACAGCAGGGCTCGAGCAGCACGAACCATATTGCCCCTCTTCACAGATGAGCAGGGGTCTTCTGCAAAGTCTCCAGAAGCCTGCCGCATTGAATCACCTGAGAATGAGTGACAAAACAAAATGTCTGCTGTAAATACAAGGTTGAAAATGAATCTTCAGATGAAAACGTGTTCAAAGACTGACTTTTGAACTTGTCAAATTAAACACTGCACTATGAACTAGCCTTCAAAGCTTTAGTAGTCTTTAAATAGGAAACAGACTTTGAATCTTTTGCAATAAAAACAAAAAAATATATATCTCAGCAAAAGGATGTGATATGTTGATATGACACAAAAACTAGATCGGAAGAAAGCACAATATCACATATAACTCTGTTTTTTACTAAATGCAATGAATCTTCCTTTGTTACGCATTATATCAGAGCAAATTCTTCACGTATAAAATCCATTTATTTCTAGTAGTCGTAGTAATACTCTACCGGAGCTGACAGCACAAGTCTGAGAGCAGTCACACTCCTTTCAGGCTACAGTTAATTGCTTTGAAGCCTTCATCCAAGACAAAGAGAAGTGTGGGGAAACAGGCAACAGTCTGACACGTTTCCCCTGCCTGCTTAGAGGTCAGCATGTGACACACAGAGCGACAAAGACACACACAGACACAAACACCTCTTCAATGTCCAGTTATAATTTCTGCTTGCTCACACAGCCCCCTTAAAATGAAAAAAAAGAGGTCACAGCCCCTACAAAGGGCTCACTGTCTGGTTTGTCCAGCACTATGCTTTGTCCTACATTGGATGGGCCTGCACAGTTGACTGGACACACAAATAGACGCATTATGAACAAGACAGTACATCCGTAAATAGTTTACTTCAGCTGAGAGATAGCCAGATTCAGATGGGGAAGCTTTGTCTTGGCACCGATATACATCCTGATATGGTATAGAGTATGTTTTCCGTTGATTCAAAAAATAAATAGCATATATGAAATAACCGCATGGACTATAAACATTTATTGATAGGGCATAAAATAAATGTGTTTATTCCTAGCCTATATGACGTCAATAACGTTGTAGAGAATCATAACCATTAGGACCTTTTACGTCACTCTGACAATAATTATATATTGGACTGGATTCGACTGAGATCTTGATCTAATTGGCCAATCAAATGACTTGATCTAATTGGCCAATACAAATGCCTAAATTAATAGCAACCTGGTTTGAGCCATCTAAAGCCCACATCACGTCCTTTGGTCTTGTAACGCCAATAGGTCTTTTGTGGGACTGGGGAATGGCAAGTTCCCACGCATGGGAACCAATCAGAGACCAACAATGGGGACATTACAGGAATATAACACATGCCGTGGTGTGTTATTTTATAAAGCAAAAAGGCAGCACCGAAAAATGGTTTAGCAATATTAATTAAATCTTATATACTGGCTATGTGAACGCTGAGTAAGAGCTGAGTGCTGTGGATGCTAAAGTGTCAGTGTACTCTATCACTCCAAGATAACGAGGAAGCTATATTTAGAAACAAGGTTAAGTGACTTCTTGGATTTGACCTCTGTAATGTTTTCTGTGTTCTGGCCACATGTGGACATTTGTCCCCCAAAATGATGTGTGCTGTAAAAACAAAAGGCGACCACTGACAACTTAGATAGATTGTTTTCCAAATGTATCTGGAACTACAGCTCCTCTTATTTTCCTCCACCGCACCACTCTTCCGCCCTCGGGTCTGAACATCCATTGAGTCATGCAACTCAGAATAACTACATATTTTAACTTCAGTAGCAAAATGTCTAACTTGAGCAGAAGTAATTTGCAAAACAAATGTGCTTTGGTCTGTCCATGTTTGTATTCATGCACTGAATTGTATTAATGCCCCCTTTAACTAAGATCTAGGTAAAATCTTAACTGAGCTCCAGTAAATACTCAAAAGATATGTGTTGGTCAATTGGACTGCGTTTATATAACAGCAGTCCAAGCTAGTTTATACATTTGCTCATAACCTTTGTAAGAACATCATGTTCTAGCCAGACTATTCAACCTCTTTGCTTCCAATATGAAGCGTATCTATCTGCTTTCAGTCAATTATTTTGGATATCCAATAGCAGACATATTAATGCAATGTACAAAAAGATCTTACAGGTGAAGCATTATAACGCTGGTTTTAATACTGTTTATTACTGGCAAAACATTGCATAAAGATGGTTCTTGTTAATGAAGCCTTCAAATTATATTCAAAATGAATTGTCTGACACATGAAGTTTGTTCAGGGTTCTGTGAATCAGTTGTAAAAGAAAAATGGAAACTGTCTGAAATGCAACCTCACTGAGCAGTATAAGAGTAAGCTAATGCAGCAAGTTAGTGTATTGACTGTACCGGGAGAATTCAGTGTCTGAAAAAATATAAACTCTTGGGCTTCGTAAATGAAACATCAATAACAAGCCATCAGCAGTCGTCCCCCCCCGAGGTAGGTAAACTGACAACCTGTGAGTAACCCTGATAGATGTTGCTTGCTGTGCTAATACACACATCCCCCGACGTTAGCTTACGGCAGCAACATGCATGCCCACTAGCACTTTCAGTTCAATAAATGCGCACTTCGACAATTACATACTGAAACTCTATACTCAACAAACAGTGGTTCAGATGTGTGCAAGCATTGCTACAAAACAGAGATATATTTAATTCTCTCCCTTAAAAGGTTCTTTTTTACCGAGCCAGCATAGACATTTCATAGCGTCATTCAGTTACATTGAAGCATGTCTATTCCTTCGAATGGACAAAGTGCTGTGAAAAATAAGTGTCCGTGGCTTTAGTAGTTCAACATCAGCAGCTTTGGGTGCAATTTACTACTGATTCTTATTAATAAATCAATAAAATATTAATATAATCTCTTTGTATGTATAATGAAAAATAGTGTCAAATTTCCATAATATCCTTTTAGAAACCAAAATGGTGTTATTTTAATCTTTCCACCGGTTTACCAGACCAAAACCCAAATATATTGTTATCATTCATGACATAAATTATATTGAATCCTAACATTTTTGCCATCAAAAAAGTTGTTCACATCACACAGATTCTGATCATTTTGTCCCGACAGAGAGCGAAAGCAGTTTGTGCAAATGATCGACAACACAAACCACAAACACAGTCTGCACCTTCAGGCTGTTATTCCCCCTGTGAACAAAATCAATAAAGCCATTTTTCAGGGGGCAGATAGTGATCAGTGCTCCTTTAATAAACTTCCATCCATCTAACGCTAACCTGCAGCCCACCAGGTACTTGATGAAATGATTAAAATGTATATCACACATTAAGCGCACAAAACAGGACAACAAAAACACAGACGAGGAGGGAGGGAAGGGCAAGACCGATAGGACAAAGGCAGACAGAAAGGGATGCGTATAGAAATATAATCTGCAAAAAAGGGAGGAAATGTCTGCGGATTTTTTATGGGGTAAATAAATTGGATTTAAGATATTAACAGAATATGTTAACTGGGGAAAAACATCCACTAAATTTCAAATTATTTCAGAAAAGACGTGTTTTTAACGTTCATTTTATTTCAAAACATTGATTAGGGTATTCGAAGGACGCTTTGAATATCCGTTAACATATTTCACATAAATACATGTAGGTTTACACTTAAAGGTAGGGTAGGTAACACACACGTACGCGCACATGACCAATGAGGGCACGAGATAAGTTTGTGCACAGATGGAAGGCTGACAGGCAGGTAGGCCATCCAGTTATTTTAGCCGGGCCGGCTAAAATGATTGGTCGTACTTTTTACAGTACTACGGCTTCCACAGATGATATTCTTTTATGGATTTTTTGTCAAAGCACTTAAGATATTCATTGCTATCGGGATGTTAAGAGCATTCCATGGAATATAACAAAAAGTGTATCTCGAGCCGGTTTCTCAAACTTACCTACCCTACCTTTAACACTGAGGGCACCATTCAAATGTTGACTTTGAATTCAACTGTCCATGTCCACAAAGCTTTAACTCAAACTACTGGGTACAGCACCTCATTGATAATGATCATGTCAGACTTTTTTTCTACCATTTTAAAACAGCTGGCAAGCCACAGCTGGGTGGAAAATGCTTTCTGAATCGAGGGGTTGGTGGGGGGGTGTTACTCCACTCAATAGCCGTATTATCAGTCCAAGCACGCTCCACCGAGCAGCATGGCATAGCTGACAGCCAGGCCTCGGCACCAGCTAACAACAGTGAGTGAATTCCAGCCCAGTGACAGCTTACCACAACTACAGTAACATTCCTGGGCACTGAGCACTGCACAGGCTATCAAGCAACATGTCAACTACCTCCCAACTACTCAGAGCGCAGCTCGAGCAGGGGACATCTAACTCGCTGGGCATCTGGGGAGAAAGACAGTGACACAGATGTCGCTTCACAAGGTGATAACAGCCACCCTCAAGTCAGAGCTCCCCAGTCTCAACGGTCTGCTAGTGTGTCAAAATACATTCAGATATCTGGAGCAGAGGGGAATAAATGAGACTATCAAGTGTGGTTGTTGAATGAAGGAATATGCTATCGCAAGCCAAATGGTAATTTAATTGGGTAACAGGCTGGTAGTTCGAGGGTACATTCTGGTTTCGAGATGCACAAGTTGTTAATTTGTCAAACGATTATCTGGTACTACTCATCTGATCTCTCAACAGATAATCTTAAACACAGACTGTAAGACATACCCGGATCACGAAAGCCTTCCCTCAATACTCTGCATAAATGTGATTACTTTATTTCGTCATCGACAGTATAGCCATATTTAGCTGCGGAAAATAAGCTAAAAACAAATATATTTTTAGGCCGACTCAATATCCATTGTTGCCACTGTTGTGAATGGGATAACGGATAAATCAAGCTGACTGTATGCTCATGACAAATGTCTTTCAAATGTCAGATGCTGCTCAAACGCATGGGGTGAAGGCAGGTTCATATTATAATGGATGACTATAGTGGGATTATACTGCAGGGCTGAGTGATATAGGGTAGGGCTGGACAATATGGTTGAAATCATGATCACAATATTGTTAAGAAAAGGCTCCCATTATAGATTTAAATCACCAGTATCTTTTTAATGTCATACATCCTAAAAATGAACACTTAGTGGGATTTTAGAACATATAACACAACAAAAATTAATGTTTTGTTTGTATTTTTCAAATATACTGTTATGATAAACGATTATATTTAATAATATTGCCCAGCCCTAAGTGTGAAATATCTTTATTTTCTGACCAACATCGCAATTTAAATGTTGCTCTATTTACAATATAGTCCGGTTCTGAACCAGAGTTAAATAAAATAAATGCGCAATATGCTCTACAAGGGCAGTCATACCAAACTACTGGCTACATTTGATCATGGTAGAAGGCAGGGCACGGACAATGGTGTATAGCTTAATATAAATGTGAACCGTCTGCATACTTAAATGAAAGCCTCTATTAATGGGCTCTCTGAATTCCCCATAGCAAAAGAGAAATCTATCATGCTCAAAGGATATCCTTACTTCAAGGTCGTCCACTGGGGCAGATGATATGTACATACTTTATGATTTATTTATCATCCCGCCTATCAAAAGACGCACTCTGTACATGCTGGAAACCACACACTGTTGCAATATGCATTTTCAATATACCTTGCTTGCGGACATCTTCCACAGCGGCAGTCAGTTCCTCCTTCAGGAACTGACTTTCCTTTGCAATCTTCTCTCCTTTCTCCAGGAAGTTCTCGGTGGCATTCTCCACAGATGCTGCCAAAACATGAGCCTTCTTAGAGCGTCCTTTCTTCTTGTTGGATGGGCCTTTGTTGCTGGAGTTTACCAAAGTGGTGACCTATGGCAGGAATAGAAGAAGTGGGATAATATATCACTTGCTATTGTTTTAAATCTGACCCCGTGTAATTATTCAAAATAAAAATGCAAATTGTTTTTCATTACCTGGGTCACTAGGGGCTCCAGCAGCCTCTCCACTGCCAGAGTACGGATCTCCAGACTCTTTGGGTCCCATTTAAAGTTGATGTTAGCCGTGTTGATGTTTGTCATGGTGTCTGGAACTCTAGGGATAAACAAATTGACAATTTAGAAAAAGGTTTGAAACCTATGAGTAGGGTGGAAGAGTACATTTTAATTCTCCAGATGCTAAGATAAAACACTTTTTAGACTGCATCATACATGAACATCTCTGCCTTGCAAAACACTGAATATCTATCCAAGATGATTGTGGCTGTACTTTATACATTGAAGGCTAGGTGGCCAAGAGAACAATGTTTTCTTACTAAATAAAGCATTATTTAAGATGTTTAGACTAGTCTCCAGAAGGTCTGTAGACGTAATCCACATATCAAGGTCGTTATTTGAGCCAGCCATGCCCCACTCCTTGCAGAATGCCTGCCAGAGGTAGAGCACAGTAGCACTATGGCCCAATTTCGATTTCTCTTTTCAGGCAGCACTGCAACTCCATTGATTAGCTTTCAAACATGGAGGGCCAGGGATAATCAGCCAGCCCTGAGGGGCCTCAGCTGAAAGTTGGTCAGCAGCATTATGAGAAGAATGTCGTAGACAGCCACTAACCTAGATTGTCACCATAGAGGCCTACATATTAGAAGCCTCAGGAGAACATGTGAATGATGACTACCAAATGCTAGGAGTAGTAATATTGAACTGTGATATTTATGAATGGGTGTGCTTTCAATTTTGCCTAAAGATCTTGACTAAAGTTAACATTTGGATGGGTTATACTTGTGAGCTATGGCCCCTTTTAACTTTTAATCAAAAAAGGCAGCCAGTATGGATGGATGCAAATTGTCTGGCACAGTTGTAACTCATTTTATCATCGAACAAATGTTAAAGCCCTTCACTACTACTCACAGACATTTTATTTTACAATTACTTGTCAACTACTACAGGGTTTTTCATCTAGTAAAGTTCACCTCACACAAATCAACCAAAATAATTTCTGTGTCAGCATCTAACCATACAGATAGTGGTTGTGATATTTGCTGAAGTATGGCCCATGTTCAATAAAACGGATTCTACCAAGGAAGTAGTTAAAAACTGGTTTACTAACATGTAACTGGGACAACGCATGTGATATCTCGTTCACTTCCTGTGTATGGGTGTGGCAGAGACTGTTATCTGAAAATCTGGTCAACAGAAACCAAAACGTTCTTTACGGCTAGATACAGCTGGGGGTATATGCATATGACCTGGGTGATATACATCTTTAATTTCTCAGCAAATTAACCTAAATTATTTCTCCTAAGAAACACAAGCAAAATGGCGTATTTATGAACATTGAAATGCCTTTTCGTAACAAGATACGCCCTTACTACAATGATACTATACTTAACATAAAACTCATTACAAATGGAGAAGCAACAACATGGGTTTCAGGTTAACGAACGATAGTCAGGCGCTTATACTGAAGTTAATTAGCTTAAGTTGCACCTGTTGTAGCTAACTTTACCCAAGTTAACATTGGTTTTATCCAGTTAACGTAACGCTAGTCTAACTTTTAAAAAGTGAACGTTGTGACTTGCAGAAATAAAGACTGGTGTTGAGCGAATGAACCGATTTTGACCAGGAATGGTCTAATTAATAGGTCATGTTACGCCAATTTAGTTCACCGTACGGAAACGTTACCTGCTAACCTACAAACACGGCACCTTGCTAATGCTAATGCTAACCGACACAACAAACACTAACGCTAACTCCATACGCCTATTCAAACACGGCTGAACACTTATACTGTCGTGTTAATGCGCTGCCCAGATGACTTTTATCATGTTATAAATAGGGTATTAAGTCAACGCTATAAACTTACCGAAAACAATCCTCAAGCAAAACTGGGAGTTTAAAAGTTCAAAATGGAGGAATGGGAATTACGGAGTTGCTTGCCTCAAAAGTTTTCCTCCCTTTTCCTCCTCTCTCTGACGGGTTAGTTGTGACTAACCGCACACTGGATTTACTCTCGAAAAACTATCCAATAAGTAAAGACAAGAGCAGATATTTAGCAGTTAGTTACCTGGAAAGTTTCGGTGAAGAATGTTTCGATGTCGCAGAATATTGCCCAACAATGGACGAGGCAGAGGGGGGGCTGGGGCGGTGACCGAGTTCCTGAACTTCCTGGCAGCGGGGCAGGGCGACCACAGGACACAGCAGGCCCGCAAACAAGGAGGTGTTCAGGGCGTGGCACTAACTGTATGTGTCCATATAAGGTTTAATTATGGCTTTCAGTGTACCACCGGGCCAAGCTGTGGGATAACAGTTTCACCTTATTAACATTTAGTTCGTAGAAGAACTGGTTCAAATGCCTGAAAATTCCGTAGCAATTTATTGGAATAGATTTCACAGTAAGACAAGATTTCCAAATTCGCTCCCAAAAGTGTGTTTACAGCTACCGGATGATATAATACAATATAATATAATAAATATTACAATCTTAAATGTAATACAAATGATTGTTTTATTGTTTATCCTTATTTAAAAAAAAATATTTTAAACATTTATTTTCTGTAGCCCCAGATTTAGAGAATATTAGGTTTTTAAGTTTATCGTTTACTTGTTAAATTATGTATAAAATGTACTTTTCCTATTTAATTTAATTGACATCTATTTTTTTCACAAAGATTGTTTATGTCTGTATGTTCACAATGTTCTATAAAGATACAAAAAATATATGGTATTGCTTATTTGAAAATGTGATAACAAATGCTATTTCATAATCATGGATCATGTGTTCATGTTCAATGTAATACTGAAGTTGTATGTAAAATAACACTATTAAAGATGTATTTCTAAACTCTTTGAAATTCACATTGTGTCTAGTCATTTAATTACATTGAGAAATGTTTGATCCAGAACTCATTTTTGGTCATCTTCACAAGGCAACATAGAAAGTACCCTATTTCCATTTCATGGTTAGGGATTTTAATACTTTCAGTTGGAGGGAAATTTAATTTCTCTTCAGTTTTTCTAATAATGTCTAGCTGTACCATGACACAACTCAAATTAATATGTAAAAAATCATCCCATTATTACAACCTTGGAATAATGGGATCATTCATAATATGCTTAAACCCCCATGACACAGCATTTGTCCACCACAATAATAACGATTTAGGTTAAGGATGTCATTCTCAGGCAACATGGATTCACTTGGGGAAACTATTTAATTTTTTCTCTTTTTAAATGTTGTGTGTTGTGTTTTATCCACTGTCAATTTCAAATAATCAGATAATCAGTGCTTTCAAAACTATTTATTAGGTAGCTTATCTTTTATTAACTAATTCAGTTTGATCTGTTTCTTTCTTTTTAGTTTGTAAATAAACACCTTCTCCAATATAATATTTTGTTTTGCATTCATCTGATGACTTTCATCAACTAAGATAAAATGTGTTTTAAAGTCACTGGGTTCAAATGTGGTTTAACAAATTCAGTACACGACCACAGAGAAAGAAGGTGCTCAAAAGTCAGCTGCTGCTTCATCGTGTGCAAGCACCCGATGAGCAGGTTAAAGCTTTGGGTTCTCATATTTTATTAATATACTGTATAATAAACATCCAACTTCAGCAGCACTGACATAGCAGATAAAACTTGTATTCAGATTGCTAGAAATGGCTTGCAGATGCCACACATTTTACAATTTCAAGGTCAAGAAAAAACCATATAAGCTGACCAGTCACACGTTCATGGTTTGATCAGACATTTGATAAACATATTCAAGAGCCAAGTATTTTGGTTTGGGTCTAATGAAGTGTGGAAGCCATAAATAGATTATCTAACGAGACCAGGTGCCACCCCTCCCTCCTCACTTTTCCACACAGACACACACACACACACACGCACGCACACGCGCACACACGCACACACACACACACACACACACACACACACACACACACACACACACACACACACACACACACACACACACACACACACACACACACACACACACACACACACACACACACACACACACACACACACACACACACACACAATGGATTTACTGTCTCTTTAAACAGTCATAGCATGCTAATAGAATTTACCTCATGAAGTAACTGGATTGCTTTTTAAATTTGCACGTAATTTTTTTTCAGCCTGCATCCTTTTAGCACCTTTCCATTTTTGTGGGTGTTCAGTCAACTTTTTTTTTTATTGTGTAGAGATAAGTCTATTTACAGACCAAAACATGTAATCAAATATGACAAGGCAATGAAAGTAGAAATGTTATAATGCTAATTATATATGTGGAGAAATGGCAAAGAAAAAGAGCAGACAATTCAGAGCTGTGGCCACAAAAAACATTATAAACAACAATGGTGTTTCTGCAGGCAAGTACAACTCACACACTTCTATTTGTTGGCTGGAGTAGGTGTTAATTAAGAAGCTGCACCAGTGCAGCATGAATTACAGTCCTGAAGAGAACAAGCTTACAAATGTACTCACAGAGCTCTTAACAAAGGCCTCAGAATATAATTATCCTCTGGAAAGATGCTCCTGAATATATTTTTTGTGCATTAATAATTCGCCAACTAATTGTTTTTCCCAACAGAGTTTTGACCATGCCAAAACTGAAGGGTCATGCATTAAATGGGCATATCAAATTCCCTGCAAACTGAGTAACATCAGTGAACTATCTTGTGTGCAATATTAATTTCACTCAGACACACAGAGGGACCTGCTCCTTCCACAGTGCAGAGATTTGTTTATCCAATTAATACCGTGTAGTGAAGAGGGATTATATTTGGTGCAATTGTGTGCTTGAATGATGAATGTTTGTCCAAGTAACAGCTTGCTGGGAGGACAAGTTTGGGTGCCCTTGAACTTCAATCTTTTTGTACCTGTTGGGCCCGACAAATGATAGGAGCACAGCATGCTATAAATAATTCCTTCTCATTATGAGGAAGTGCACATGTTTGTCACACACTGAATGTATAATGAGCAAATCTGTTTGCTGTGTATGGCACTATGGTGCATCAAACAGTAGAAAATATGGCATATATAGATTATCTTCATATTTGTAGTCATAATGTAATGTTCCAAAAGATCAAATATATATTTTTTATGTTATTAAAGGTTTTTTTTCTAATCTTTCTGCTAAGTTATACTATAGATTAGTTTTACATTTCTATTCAGGAAACACAATGTCCTATTGAATTGCAGTCCTGGCAGTGCTCCATGCTGATAAGAGAAACACTCCTGAGTAGAGCCACAGGTGAGCTTCTTTCATAATTGTGTTATCTATTGTTTGGCAGACATGGAAGTTACTGTACAGTTGTGCTTCCTGTCAGAGTTACTCATTCTTTGACATTGACTAAACTGGAAGTTGCCTTACTTAAGGAGGATTCTGAGCCCTGACAAAACAAACACAGCCACTTTCAGTCTGCCCCCATTCACCTGACTCATCCTGAAAGCTGTCCATGAAGCTGCATGATGTCATCTGCTGACTCTCCCGTCCCGAAGAAGACCTTGTACCTCAATAATTGGAATTGTGTGTGGTGCAATGTAGGCGTCAATCTCCCACGGCAATACCCAAGGGGTGGAAAGGAAAGTCAACAGGCCAGCAGCACTGATGATTATCCTCAATAGCAGCCGTTCACTGTGACTTTCTTACAGAGGTGAAAAGAAACATACATTATTGCAGTGATTTCACAAAAAGTCCCATGGGAGGACACATCAGACATGTTTACAGTTAGACGTTGGGACAGTGATGTCGTGGTGTCAGAAGGAAGCGTTGCTTATCTGATTGGACCATGGAGAAGGTCGCAGCTCTCAACTGCTGCTAACCCATTGTCGGCAGTGAGAGCTCCTCCTGCCGGTTTACGCCAAGGTATCCAACTGCTGCCCTCTGCTCTGGTGTGGGGCCTCTCCTCGGCTTTAGAAGGGCAGGAAGTATTTGAATCACATGCCATTGTGGGACCACTGAGTAACCTTGATAGAGAATAATTTCCTCTTAGATTTTGTTTTTACTCTGGAAACTCAGATCTATAAGTGGCCATCTCAAGTTTTTATGCTACGTTCCACACAAATGAGGATTGGCATTTTCCCAGTTGAAATGTTGCCAAACAAAAAACTATGGCTGACTGTGACAAAGTGATGTTTCTTTGGCAAGTGTACACACAATTGAACTCTAAGCAGTAGAGCCTCCACATTATGTTGGGGGACATTTTTTTCCGATAATTACATGTGGAGCAGAGAAGATAACTTTCAAGGATTGTTTATCATTACTAGTTACCAAATAACCATATCATTTTAAACGCAAAATGGTTTAAATATGTGATATGTATTAAACACATGAAAATACTAAGTTGATGTTTTACCATTTACAATGTGTGCTTCCATTGTTGTCTGACGTCAGACAACTGCTTCTTCATGAAGCCAGGGTAGACGGATTTACACCGAGTATACAACCGACTTTTAGTGGCATTGACTTTTCTAGTGGGAGGTTGGAAATGTTTGAGTTCTGAGTTGGCTGAAGTCCTACTTCGAGTCCAACTTCGTTACAAAATCAGCTCTTTCAGTTAAAATCTTTAAATCAAGACTAATAACTTACCTTTATTGACTTCAATGCAGCTATCCAACATTGTCAAGCCTCCAACCTTTTTAACATCCCTTTAACACTGATGTTCTTAATGTGGTTGTTTTATTATAAAGGATATTGCTCTGTGTTCTGTCCTTCATATTTATTGCAGCCTACCACATAACAAAGTCGGATCATTACACTATTAACATCCGTTAAACGTTTATGGTTGCATGGGGTTCTTTTATATTTTAAAGTTCATTATTTTATTGGCTTGTCATGAAATGTACTGCAACCATCCAGCATGGTGATTGAGTGCTCTGAATGAAATTGATTGACTGATTAAAGATGTGATGTTGACTTTTCTGTGTGATTTGTTTTTCTGCACTCCCTGCAATCTTTTGGTGATCATATCACCTCTGTTTCCGGATCTGTTTCATAGATGGGAAGACAATTGCATGTTCATAATAATTTTTACATAATCAATGATCACTGACTGAAATGCAATTACCAGCAGACCACAGATTGAAAACCCACCGGTGAGTCACTAACAGTGCACACACTATTCCAGAAACCTTGTTTTATTCCAAAATTCTCCAGGGAGCTACTGCCCTAATTTCTCGCTTTCAAAATGGGATTTAAGCTAAAAGGAAGGTGAAGAATGT